GGGCTCCTGGGAGTCCGATCTCAGCTAGGGAAGGCAGCGCGGGGCGGCGGGGACAGGGTGGAGGGGTCCCGAAGTCTTCCAGGCTTTTGTCTGGAAGCCTTCGGGATCCCCCACCCACCCTGTCCCTGCCAGTTTTTAGTCCATTGGAATGCATTAACCGGGTTTTAATGCGTTTCAATGGGCTTTTTTATTTCGCTTTACGATGTTTCCGTATAGCGACGTTAATCCTGGAACGGATTAACGTCGCTATACAGAGCACCACTGTATAATTCATAATGGTGAAAGTGGGCGGCCGTATCATGTGCCCTTTCACTGGTTTAGAATCTACTTCATTTGAGTGCATGTTATTTCCAAGTTTTTGCATAGCCTATAAAACAATGTAGCAAACTGATGTCCAAACCCCAATCTTTCTAATATTCCAGTTAAATTGAACATTCTGTGCATTCAAGGATCCTGACTGTATGTACTTTTGACTACTGTCACCGGTTACTTAGAAGGTTGTCCATGTTCCATTTTTGTTACATTTAGTGTCCTCCTTCTTGCATCCTCTATAAGTCTACTCAGCATAAAACCAGTGACTTTTATAACATAACTTGTAACAAATGAACTTATATTTCACCAGAATGAACATTAATTATTTTATGTCTAAATTCAACTAAGTTATTAGTTGATATCATTCCATATTTTCTGAGCCCCTGTGGGGTTTGGAATTCTTATTCCTCTTTCCTCATTCCAATTCATTATCATCTTCACATTAGAAAATACATAATTTAAGACAGCCATCAGAGGTGTAGATAAGAGCAGCTGGGATAGCTCAGTCATTTAGATACCTTGCTGTAGACCCAGAGTTGTGAGTTTGATTCCCCCACTGTGCCTCCTAAACAGGGACTGGACTCAGTGATCCGTAGGGTCTCTTCCAGCTCTGCAGTTCTAAGATTATTAAGATTTTAAAATATCTTTGAATGTAAAAGTCACTTGTATAACCATCCACCTTAAACTTAAACTCCATCTGGCTTTCTGTAACTCAGCTTCTGTTATGGGTAACTCTGACTGTATTCTGTGTTCAATTATAATCTTTTTAATTGGAATTTTATTTATAAAGTTCGGAAC